AACGAGGGACAGCAGACACGCTGACGGCGATGTAGGTAACGGCGGTGTGGGTCTTGGTATCGTAGGGAAGGGTGGTTCGTGGCCAACCCAGTTGTTGGAAAGACGTGCTCGTATGTTTCTACACTTGCTCTGCGCACCAACATCGCTGTCAGCGTGGCTTTGGATCGGCACGAACGAACTGGGCACGGAAAGAATGGGTACAATGCTCAACAGCAGTTCTTGTTCATTTTGAACAGGGTTCGCTGTCCGCGCCGCCGCGGCCTGTGCCCACCTGAGACAGAAGGCCGCCCGCCCAACAGCGGTCGCTGCTGGTTTGGGACAACCTTTGTTGTTGGGCCTTGTGCCCAGTGTTTCAGTACCCACATCGGGCGTCCACATTTCAGGAGGTGGAAAAAACACACAGACACAAGTCATCGTCGACTCCCCAGGAAGTATGGAAAACTACGGGAAGCGGGGGGGAAGACAAAAGCCCAGAACATGGGGGAACATATGGGGGATCGTTTTTTATATGTGTGTATTTATCTGTGTGTGTCCCAGGGCCCCTTCAAAATGGGAGGGAGAGCAAAAACGAGGCGAGGCCGGAAGACACCGCTTGATGCGGGGAGGAGGAGGAGGAGGCGGAGGCGGAGGAGGAGGAGGAGCCCCGGAGGGAGCAGGCGGGGGGAGGGGGGCCGGCAGGGGGAGCGCCCCGCGGGGGGGGGGGGGGGCGGCACGGGGCAGTGGGCGCGGCGGGAGGCGGAGGGGGGCAACTCGGAGGCGACGAGGGGAGCGAGCAGCCCGGGGGCGGGCACTGCAGTCGACCCGCGCAGATTTTATGTCGGGCGTGTCCCCCTGCAGTGGGATTTGCGACGAAAAGTAAAACATACCCCAACAATGCACCAAAAAGGTCAGAAAGTACCCCCAAAATAGTCCCCAGACGGCGGGGGGGCCATCGGAGGCGGCGCTGGGGGCGAGCAGCCCAGGGGTGGGCCCTGCAGTCCCGGGGCGCGCATCAAGAAGCCATCTGCGTTTCGTGAGGGTGCCCTGGGTTTCTTCGCTCCTCGCGCTCCGCGATGGCTTCCCGCAGCCGCTGAAGGAAATGCTGCGTTCAGGGTGCTCCGGGTTTCCCCTCAGGTGCACCTCGCGCACGGGTTCTCAGGGTTGGGTTTCTCGCGAGGGTTCCTTGCGGGGGCAATCGGAGGCGACGCTGGGGCCGAGCAACCCGGGGGCGGGCTCTGCAGTCGACCCGCGCAGTGTCGAGGATGAGCGCCTTTCCAGGCTTCGGCGGCTGCAGAGGGTGCGGTTTGCGATCGGCGCCGTGGGGGCCTGGAGGGCACGACGCTGTCCCCGTCGGGCCTCCTCGGGGCGCGGCGGAGAGCTCTATCGAGGCACCCGCCCGCCCCCCATGGGTGCCCCCCAGGGTGCCGACTTGCAAACCGCACCCTTTGCAAGCCGCACCCTCTGGAGTCGCCGAAGGCTTACCCTCGCATCCTTCCCCCTCGGCCCATGCTTGGCCGCTCTCGCTGGCCGCGCCCGGCTCGCCGAGCGTCGAGATGGCCCTCCAAGGCCCCTGCATCCTCATCGCGCATCCTTGCTGGACGGGTTGACTGCACGCGTACTCGCCCAGGAGCCTCGCCGAAGACATTTGGGGGAACAAGAACCGGCATAAGCATAAAAGCTCGGAGGTCCGCGCGGATTTCTCCGATCGGCGCTAGACCCCCCTCCCTGGCGCGCGGAGCGCGCCAGGGGCGGCGCCGGAGGCGCCGCCGGGGGGCCCCAGCGCCGATCCGAGAAATCCGCGCGGTCCTCCGAGTTTTTATGTTTGTGTCAGTTTTTGTTCCCCTAGACATGGGCCATCAGCGCCTCCAGGTACTTGTGCTGCTCCCCCCTGGGCAACTCATCCGCCCTCACCGTCGTCCCCCGAGGCGGGGAGGCACGGGGGCAGGGGTCGGCGAAGAGCAGCAGGGAGGAGAGCCACGTGGTGGCCCCCCGGGGATGGCCCGAGGTTTAAGTCGGGCCTGTCCCCCTACAGGGGGATTTTCGACGAAAAATCAGAAATAGTCCAAAAATAGTCTGGGGACTAGTGTTTGAGCATGTTTTGACCATTCTGGAATATTTTGGGTGTATTTTTTACTCTTCGTCAAAATTCCCCCCGTAGGGGGACACGCCCGACTTAACCCGAGGATCGCCCATCGGGGCTCAATGCAAACGGGGGTCAGCCAGATCGCCCGATTTTGCAGGATCCTGCAGGGCCAGGGTCGCACTGACCCGGGTCTGGGCGCAGGATCCTGCAGGATCCTTCGCATTGCCCTGGGCTTGGGAGCAAGATCTTGCGGGATGGTGCAGGATTCAGCTAGGCCTGACTGACCCAGGTATGGATTGACCCGGGTCAGAAGATCCCCGAGCCCTGACTGGCCCGGTGCCCCTGGGCTCCTTGCCTTACTCCCCAGGGGCTCCACCTTTGCCACAGTCTCGTCGGCCGTCTCGGATCAGGCCCCTCGTGGATGATCTCGAGGCCCTCTTGGGAGCGTGATCTCTCTCGGAGGCTCTTTGGGTTCGTCCGGGCCATCTGGAGGCCCGGCGAGGCCTTCCACAACATAACGAGTTCAGCACACACAGGGAACCATATGAATGGCCATAAGAAGAAGGCGAGAACCGAGCACCGAATATTTCGCACGGATAATCGCAATCCAGGGCCTCTCCATTCGGAATAGTCGGGGCTTCTCTTGGGGCTTCTCGTGTGCCTCCTGGCGCCACTGTCGGTCCACCTGCGCTGCCTTGAGATATGTTTGGCTATCCTGGCAGCCGCATGGCGCCTTGGGGATCCGTCCTGTGCAAACTGAAATGCCCCCGCACCCGTCGGGGAAGCATTCAAAGGCGCAGTAGTCATGTCGACTCGGCTAGATTTCCGCGGGCTGCACGCCCGAGGTCAGTGGGCCCATGCTGGTCACAGGGAGGCGGGACAAACTCTGTTGAACCGTCCCTGGCCACACACGGCGACAGAGTCGGCGGATTCGCTTTCCCCCCGCCACCCCGTTGCTTATCTCCACCTCCCCGTCCTCCTCTCCTTCCTTTCATCCCCTACAGTGGGGGCCCATGCCAAGAAACACCCTGCTTGCCTCCGAGGTGCCCTGGGTGTCTTGGGTTTCGATGCACACAAGAAACCGATGGACGTCCTGGGGTCTCCGGATTGGGTTTCTTGTGGAAGGTTTCTTGTGGTCGAGCCCTTATTGTATCCCCATCTCCATCCTTTTCATCACATCCCCCATAGACGCGCTAACGGCAATGTAGGTAACAGGGATGTAAGTTTCGGCATTGTAGGTGGGACTGGTGCGTGGCCCAACCAATTGTAGGACACCGTGGTTCGCACTTTCCTGCAATTCGCTGCGCCGTTGTCGCTCGATATCTTCGCAAATTTGGAATGCAGGAAAGTGTGGTTCGTGATTTCATACCATTTAGCTTTGCGCGAGTTCGGTGTCACAAAAATCAGATTCCCAACATCGCCGTTAACCAACATCGCCGTTACCGCGGCCGTGGATCCCCCCCTCCTCCCCCTTCTCTTCCCCCCGCCGCCCGCCACCCCCCCCCCGCCTCTCGGCTCGTCGCTGGCGTCGCTGACGTCGGGGCGGGGGGCCCAAATCAAGGGAGGACAAACCATCCGGACGGGACCACTGGCGTTTACTGAACGGCCCAGCCCTGCCCTGTTCGATTCCTTCTTTGGGCGCGCTTGATAAGCGACTTCGCGTGTCGGGGTGGTTCTTCTGAGGGTGGATTTGTTGACCTCCACCAAAGCCCAAAGCCGGGCGCTGCCGTCTTCCCCGGGGGTGGGGGGTCCCATCCGCGTCGGTTGTTGCTAGACCCCTGCACCTCCATCTTCCATACCTTCCGACCTCTGCGGAAGGCGCGGAAGGTGATGCATTGAAACTATTGACATCCTCGGGAAACGCAAGACAATTCAGCGTTTCACGAAGCGCAAGAGTGTAGAAGGTCAGCACGGAAGGTCTGGAAGAATGAGGGCGAGGGAAAAACGGTGCAAACATCAGCTTCTGGCGCTCCGCACGGACTTCTCGGATCCGCGCCGGGCCCCCCCCTGGCGGCGCCTGCGCCCTGGGCGCGTTCCGCGCCCCAGGGAGGGGCCCAGCGCAGATCCAAGAAATCCGCGCGGGGCGCCGGATGTCGATGTTTACGCACTTTTTCCCCGACCATCCTGTGGTGCTGGGTCATCGTTTCGAAGAGACAGCGCCACGAGTTCCGCTCCTCCTCCTCCTCCTCCTCCTCCTCCTCCTCCTCCTCCTCCTCCTCCTCCTCCTCCTCCTCTCCTCCGCCGCCATCCGTGGCCCTGCTTTCCGCATCAGTTTGCCATGTCGGCACGCCCCTGACACGTTTCGTGGCCCCACGGGGAGCTCCGCCACCGCAGGCCCCAGTTGGAGTGCCCACATGCGCACGCCACACCCAGTACAGCTTCTCGTGGCCCCACAGGGAGCTCCGCCGCCGAAAGCCCCGATGGGGGTGCCCGCATGCGCCCGCCACGCCCAGCACAGCGCCTCGTGGCCCCACAGGGAGCTCCGCCGAAAGTTCGCACACGTCCCACCCATTCGCCCCCGCGCCTCGTTCTTCCTGCGGCGCGCTGCCCACGAGAGCAGAGGGTGTACCGCGTGCGCCATTCGGGGCTTGCGTGCCCCCCTCCCTCGTCTCATCTCCCTCGCGGTGCTCGCGGCTGCATGCGGTTGGGCTTTTCTGTCAGGCTTAAGTTCAGGAGGGGAGAAAACACACAGACTCAATGAATCGTCGACTCCCAGGAAAATATAGGAAAATATGGGAAGTGGGGGGGAAGACGAAAACCCAGAACATATGGGAAAACATAGGGAATCTTTTCATTTGTGTGTACTTATTTGTGTGTACTGGGGCCCCTTCATAAGTTCTTCGTCTGCCCTCCCCATGCCCCCGGCCTGGCCCGCACGTCCCCAGCTGGCCCCCGATCTGCCCCCCCCCGCACGAGCCGGGGTCCGGCGCCCCCGCAGGAGCTGATGGAGTTCGGGCGGACGCCGCAGGGCTACGTGATCTCCGAGGCGCTCCCGGGGCGGCCCTGCAAGAATCGGAGGTGGATAGACCTCCTACCCTGACACGTCGAATAAGGAATTGGCCGTTTTCGGTTCGCGAGAGGGCGTCGCGGCCGTCATTTTTGCGGGTCCAGGTCCGTCGATTTCGGCCCCAGGCCGTTTTCACTAAGGGGAGGTCTACTAAAGGGAGGTTTGCCCACCGCCGAAAGAGGGGATCGGGACAGGGGGACGGGCGCGTGATTCCGAGCTGCTCCGTGAGCGTCGTCATGGCAAGGGGGGGATGGCGTGGGGGCGTGGGGGGGGGGGAGAGTTCAGGAGGAGCCAAAACGCGGACACAATTCACCGTCGATTCCCCCGAGAAGATGGGAAAGTATGGGAAGTGGGCGGGGGGGGAGGCGAAAGTTCAGCAAAGATGGAGAAATGGACGGCTCCCGGGATTTGGGTGTGTCTACTGGTGTGTTCGCTGGGCCCCCTCGGGTGAGGTGGGGCGTCCTCCCGCGGGCTCGCGGCGGGGCTGGATCGCTCCAGGATTAGGTCGGGCCCGTCCCTCCACAGGAGGAATATCCAAGAACAGTCAGCAAAAATAATGTTTGGGCATCTTTGGCGTATGTTTTGATATTGTTTTATGTTTCGTCCAGGATCCCCTTGCAGGGGGAAAAGGCCCGACCTGGCTCCAGGAGGCGGGCGCGGTGCGCTCCAGAGGGGGAGGCGGCAGAGCGCGCCGTCGGGCCGGGCGGCGTTAGTTAGGGGGGGTGCCTGCGGAGCAGCCGGGAGCGGGCGCGGGCAGGTGGTGCCACCCCGTCGGGGCCTGCTTCAGGCCAGCCACAGTTGGGGGAGCTGAGGTCCTTACCTCGGCATCGCTCGGACGCGTGCATTTTTCCTTCGGCGAGGACCGTCGAGGAGCATCCTTGATCATTTGTCGAACAAAAAAAAAACACGCACGAAACCGACAAAAGCACACGGAATGGACGTCCGAGCAATGGCGAGTTACTAACCGTTGGGGACCCATCGATTTCGGCACGCCTCTCGAGAGAGATCGTCGAGGCGATGGGTTCCCCCAGGGGGGTAAAGGACCACAGCTCCTCCAGGAAGGGCTGGACCCAAACGGTGTTTTTGGTGGTTTCGTGGGCCGTTTTCGCTTCGACTTCACTTCGTCTTGTGCGGTAGAGGAGGATTCGAGACAAAAGCGAGAGAGAACGAAAGCAAAACGGAAACAAGAAACACAGTTTGGGTTCAGCCTTGTCCCACCCCATCGGAGCATTCCTGTTGGTGTGAGCAGCCTCGTCCTCACAGCACCTGCGCTGGCGCAGATGCGTGCGAACGCACTGCGGGATTGGAGGTCGTTTGGGGCCTCTTAGGGGCCTATTTGGCTTTTAGGGCGGAAGGCTCGGATGTTCTGTTCGTACTCCCTCTATTGGGCCATTTTAGGGGCCGTCTTGGGGCCCGCTTGGGCTCCTCTTGGACCTTCTTTAGGCGCTCTTCGTCTTAGGCCGTCTTGGGGCCCGAGGCCTCTGGGGCCGTTTTGGAGTGGTTTTGGGGGCTTCGTGGGCCGTCTTGGAGCGTCGGGTGGCCGAAGAGGCGAGAACGCCACAATCTCCCAAACTTTCAAGGAAAATCATTACGGCACATTGGCCCATGGAATGGGGAAGGGCCGGCGCCCTTGCGCTGGCAAGGGCAAGCGAAAAGCGCTGCCTGGCTGGCGCCTTTTTGGGCTTCCTCCCTGAGGCACCCGGCCAGAAAATGGCGCCGGCGAGTGCCGCCAGAGGGCGGCGAGGGTGGGCAAAGCCGCGGCAGGCGCGTGTTGCCTGCGACTGTGCTCGGAAGGCGCCGCTCCTATCAGGGAGCACGTAAGGCGCAGCTTCTGCCACCGAGCGCAGAGGCACCGCTCCTGTCGGGGAGCATTGCGGCGCGGCCCCTTTCATTAACGGGCGAATAACGGTATAAAAAAAAACTTTTCCGCCGTCGGGGGCGCCTGTCCCAGGGCGGCTGGAAAGTTTATACCTTCACGGTGGCTCCGCAGGGGTATAAACTTTCCAGCCGCCAATGGGCAGGCGTCCCCGACGGCGGAAAAGTTTATTTAATCGCTTCGCTCATTCCGCTGGCCCATAATGCGTAATCGCTGGGGTTTGGCTGCGCGTCCGTGAGCCATGCTGCGCTGATGGGGCGGGGGGACGTTGTTTTCGGTGGTGGGTGCACCAGTCCAGTGTAGTTGGTTCGACGTTTGCGGCCGTCAGTGGTTTGTGGCCTCTTGGGCAGTATTTCTAGAGCCTCCTGGGGCCTCCTGGGGGCCTCTTGGGGCCTGTTGGGGGCCTCTTGGGGCCTCTCGGGGGCCTCTCGGGGGCGTTATGAGGTCTCCTGGGGACGTCTTGCGGCTTAGAGCGCGAAATCTCCGTTCCGGTCCCCCGTCGGGGCCCAGTCTTGGAGCCGTCTTGGAGGCATCTTGGGCCATTTTGGAGGTTTCTGGGGGTCTCTTAGGGCTCTCTGGGGTCGTTTCGGAACGGTCTTGAACCCTCGTAGGCCGTATTGGGGCGATATTGAGGGCTTTTTGGGCCGTCTTGGAGCGCTAGTAAGCCGAAGAGGCGAGAACGCCAAAATCCTTAAAAAAGCAATGAAAATCATAGATTTTGGCTTCTTGGGGGCCTCTAGCCTCTTGGGAGGTCTCTTGGACGCATCTTGGGGCGTCTTGGGAGCATCTTTGGCCGTCTCTCTTGGGGGCGTTATGAGGTCTCCTGGGGACGTCTTGCGGCTTAGAGCGCGAAACGTCCGTTCCGGTCCCCCGTCGGGGCCCGGTCTTGCAGCCGTCTTGAGGGGTTGGGCCATCCTGGGGTCTCTTGGGGCCCTCTGGGGTCGTTTCGGAACGGTCTTGAACCCTCGTAGGCCGTATGGGGGCGATATTGAGGGCTTTTTGGGCCGTCTTGGAGCGCTAGTAAGCCGAAGAGGCGAGAACGCCAAAATCCTCAAAAAAGCAATGAAAATCATAGATTTTGGCTTCTTGGGGGCCTCTTGGGAGGTCTCTTGGACGCATCTTGGGGCGTCTTGGGAGCATCTTGGGACGTCTTGCGGCTTAGAGCGCGAAATCTCCGTTCCGGTACCCCGTCGGGGCCCGGTCTTGCAGCCGTCTTGGGGGCATCTTGGGCCATCTTGGAGGTTTCTGGGGGTCTCTGAGGGCCCTCTGGGGTCGTTTCGGAACGGTCTTGAACCCTCGTAGGCCGTATTGGGGCGATATTGAGGGCTTTTTGGGCCGTCTTGGAGCGTTAGTAAGCCGAAGAGGCGAGAACGCCAAAATCCTCAAAAAAGCAATGAAAATCATAGATTTTGGCTTCTTGGGGGCCTCTTGGGAGGTCTCTTGAACGCATCTTGGGGCGTCTTGGGAGCATCTTGGGCCGTCTTGAGGCCATCTGGGCCGTCTTGGGGCGCTCTTGGCTTCAGGCTGCTGGGCCTGCCACATATTTGGCGTCTCCTTGGAGCGCTCCTGGAGCGCTCCTAGAGCGCTCCAGAGGCCTCCAGGGCCGCGCCCAGGAAGTCCGGCATCTCTGGCCCCCGCCCTCTCGGGGACCTGCCGGGGTACTTTTCGCCCGGGGACTCCTAGGGGCCGCCCCGCGCGCGCGAACTAGAAATACTGTTTGCCTGTTACCGGAGATCTTAGCACGCCCTGGCCCTTTGGGCCGGCGAATTTTATACCGTTATTCGCCCGCTGATTTCAGGGAGCATTGTCCGCCAGAAGCTCCTTTCAGGAAGCACGGCGTGCCAGAACTCCACATCGGGGGGGTAGGCGTGCCAGAGCTCCCTGTCGGGATGTTGGCGGCGCCGATCCTGTCAGGGAGCATTGCGGCGCAGCCCCTTTCAGGGAGCCTTGCCTGCCAGAAGCTCCTTTCAGGGAGCACGGCGTGCCATGCCAGGCTCCTTCTCAGGGGCGTGGCAGCATAAGTTGCTTTCCGGGGGCGCGGCATACCAATCGTTCACGCAGCGCCCTTGCGGGGGAGGGCGAGCGTGAGCGCGCAACTCCTATCTGGGAGTAGCCATGCCGCCGCTCCTCTGAGAAGCACCAGGCACGGAGCACCACAGAGAGTATTTCCAACGCTTCCAGCTAACTTTCTCCCGCTCCGCCAGAGATGCGACCGCCCGCGACGCCGACAGAGGTGCGTAAGTAAAGAGGATGCGAGGTGAGCAACATGGGCCCAACACCTTGTGATTTGCTTCTTGCAGGAGAAAAGTTGATGGCCCATGAGCATAAAAATCAGTTGTGGGCTTTGAGGCTCTATGGGGAGGCCTCTTGGAGGCCTCTTGGGGCGTTTCGGCGGCCTTTTGGACCATCTGGAGGCCACCTTTGGGATTTTCGAGCGATCGTTCGGCGACTCGGGGCCCTCTTGGGCCGTCTCGGGGACCTCCTGAGCGGTCATGAAAGGCTTGGAGAGCTCTATGGAGGCGCCATGGCCGCCCACGGGGGCCCGGTACTAGGGGCGAGGCAGTCAGGTGGGTGTGACATCGGGGATGGGGGGCCCTTCAGAAGATTACAAAAACCTTGCCAGGAAGCCCCTGGCAATCTTCCACGCCTCAACGTGCCGCAGGCACGGTGGAAGATGACGGGAAACGCCTCTGGCGTGGACCGCTTTCATGAATTTAGTTTAAGATTTCTTTACTGGGGGCTTCGGGCCGCACTTGGAAACTCGCTGGCGGATGACGGGGAGCGCCTTCTCAAGGCCTTGGCTCGAGCGTGTATGGCGAGTTTCATCGTGTCAGCGGGGTCGCAAGCCCCCGCACAGCATGCCCCCCAGTCGATGGCAGTACATGATGTGTCTCGTTTCTCTTCTTCTCGCCACCGCTAGCCGCTAGCCGATTCAATCCACGCTGGACGGCCGAGTGTTCGGTGACGGCACGATCTCCGTGGAGCTCCATGACATCGGCAAACGTCGATGATGGGAGCGAGCCAGTGCACAGCACAAGGAGCTATCACCGTGCCTGCCGTGCCATTCTCGCCAGAGGGCGAGCGTGGTCGTGGTCCGATCTCTATGAAGGCCAGGGCGTTGTGGCAGGTCGACGCTATGGGGTTATTCAACTCGCCGACACAGCAGTTGCAACAGCCACGGGAGATGCGTGGGTGCCCAAGTGTTGGGACGCGCCGGGGCCTCGATCATCTCCCTGTTTTGCTGTAGCCCGGTCATTTGGCTCGAGGACGTTCAGGAACGCTAGACGCCAGCCTACGGACCGACGCATCCGCTACCTCGACGCAACGGAGTTGAGGGCCCTCAGCAAAGTCTGCGCCCAGCTGCACAACAACGCGGACATCGCGCTCACCAGATGGCTCGTGTGGGGCCCGGCAGTAATCAAGTGGCTTGGCTTCCCGCGCGCCTACATCCGGTGGTTTGCGGCCGACTACATCAGCCAATTCCGTGACCTTCGAATCAAGCAGAATTGGAAGTTGGCGCAGTATTCTTCCGCGGCTCGTGAGAGCCGACAGTGGTCGCAGTGCTTAGTCTCGGCCTAGTATTGTTGCACTCGCCCTGGTGAGGTTTCAGCTGTTGCAGGATTTAGTGTCTTTTTGTCCAACGCTGGCGTGTCTCCTGCCGTTTCCCCGTCCTCAGGCCTGCTGCGCTGGTGACTTTGAGTTTGGCTTGGCCCGCAGCCCGCAGACAGGTGGTTAAGCTGTCTGCCCGCCGCCCTCGTTTCAGCCATCCTGGAGCGTTGCCGATTTTGCACTTCTGGCGAGGGCGGCTCGAGCATCGTTGTTCTATGCTTCTCTGCGCCTGCCGCGTTGCGCCGTTTGAGTTTCCTTGCCTGCCACCAGTCCCCTGGTCAGAGGGCCAGGTACTGATGTGCGAGCCTCCCACCAGAGGGCGGCGAGCTTCGCATGTGACGTCTGTGGATGCGCACGCGCGCGGCCTGACCACGCGGTTGGCCTTGCGATTTTTCGCGAAACCTCTTGACCTGGGGTTGCGGTTCTAGAAACAAAGCGCCTTCTCGGAGCGAGAAGGTGATGAGGGGGTTGTTAGAGAATGCGTTCATCATAACTAAGAAAGAAAAGAGACGCGGGGGACGCAACGGGCCCGGAAGCGGGAAAGATTTGATGATTCACTTCAATACGGCCGTTTCGCGTGAGACATATTCGAACAAGTGAAATATTGAAGGGCGTGTTTGAATGCGTTTTACGTTGCAAACGAGGACCCCGCTCGAGACCCCCCCAAAAAATGTCCAGGGATCTTTCGAATCCGTCGCAATCTTAGAAATTAAGTTATCGCTCCGGATACGCTCGAACAGTGAGACGTTAACCCATTCAGGACCCCTCCAGGACCATCATTAGCACCGCACCGTAATTAAACAATTATGGGAGGCGGTTTTCGCCGAACGATATGATTGTCACCTCGCACATAGAACGAACATTAAAAAAACGCGCCCCGGTTTGGGTGGTATCCCAAGTGGAATTGGAAGTCTAATCTAAAATTAGCACCAAGAAAAATGCGCGTAACACAAAACAATACGAATACCAATGGTAATACTGATCAAAGTGCAGCAGCTGTTTTCTCAGCATTGAAATAATATTTAAGAAGGATACGAAGAACAAATTGTTCAGGAACGCGCCAATAATACAAACAATAATGATAAGAATAATAATGTTGATAATAATAATCATAATAAAAATAGTTTTTTGCGCATTATCTTCTTCATCGGTTTCTTGTGCGAATTGTATTGTAGTGGCCTCCGGCAACTGCCGCCGATCCAGTGGCGCTCCCGATGTGATGTGGTCGGTGGAAGGGGAGGTGGAGGAATAGGTGGCGGATGAGGCGGAGGAAGGTGGAAGGAGGGATTGCCTCTTGCAGCTATCTTGGGATCTCTGGCATCTGGGGTGGCAAGCTGCTGTGTTTCCCACGACCCGACCCCCCCCCCCGGAGAACGCAGCACAGGGCGCCCCCCCCCCCCACCCAACCACCCCCCTACCCCGGCAGAGCCACCCCGGCACCCACCCCCCAGCAGAGCAGAAGCTAACAGCGCCCCAAGAGGACAACAAGAGACCCCCAATAGCTCTAAAGGAGGCACCCAGACAGCTAACAAGAACCACAAGACAGCCCAAGACGGGCCAGGAGAGCTTCAAAAGACTCCAAGGAGCGTCCCGGGAGGCCCCCAAAAGGCCCAAGAAAGCCCCAAGACGGCCCAAGATGGCATCGAGACGGCCCAGGAAAGCTCCCAAGGAACCCCACGACGCGCCTAGACAGCCCAAGACGACTCCAGAAGCCCACAAGAGGACCCAAGAGGCCCCCAAGAAGGCCTCAACAGGCCCAAAAGGCAACCCCTCGCGGAGCCAGGAGCTTCCAGGGTAGTCCGAAAGGGTCACCCGGACCCTCTCCTGATTCAACATCCTTCTTCAATTGTTTGTTACTGTCCTCCGTCGTCGCCATCGTCATCCGCATTCCTCGTACGCGCCCTCCTTATCTTCGTCCTTGTCCTTGTGTTTCTTTTCCTCCTCGTTGTCCTGATGCTCCTTCTCGCTATCCTCACATTCTCCACGTCGTCCTCGTCATCGCCTCCTCGTCGCCCTCGCCTTCCTTGTCTTCTTCTCCGCCCAGTAGGCCTATTGCACTAGAACGGCGCTTCCCGTTATTGTCCGATCAGTTTCAGCTTACACGCGGCGTCTGCGAAATCGGCGACGCCGCTACGGAGAGCAACTGACCTGTGCCGAAGCAGGCAGAGAGGTAGGCAGATCTATCATCCGAATGTGCGTCCAGCATGGAGCACTCTTGTTGCTCAGGTGCGGCGAAGCTGGACGTTTGTAGGGCGGCATGCCCTCTTCCTCCCTCCCTCCCTTCTGCATATCATCAGCTTCCTCTTTTTCCCTTTTGTGTTCCTCAGGGTCACAGTCCTCACGATCCTCCTCGGGTGGAAAGGTTGGGAGGGGGGAGGAACAGTAGAGGGGGAGCGGGGAGGGGAAGGAGGGGACGGGGAACGGGGATGAGGAGAAGACGGAGGAGCTGCAATGAGAACAGCAGCAGCCGGAGGGACGTTCGTGGCCACCCTGCCTCCCGGCATCCTGGCGGCAGGAGGAGGCAGAAGAGAATCAGAATTAGCCGCTGCTCTCCCCGCCCCCATCCATCTCTCCACCCTTCGCGAACGCTTGAACATCGAGTCGAATCGTGCCGTGTCGCGGAACACAGCGGCAGTTGCAGCAGCGCCCGAGCTTCGGACACCGGCCTCGCGCGAGGTCGCCGTCCTTTCCACCTGCAACCGCTTCGAGCTCTACTTCGCATCGCCTGAGCTCAAGAAGTTCGCCGCTATCGAGTGTGTGCACGCCTTCTTGAGGCCGCAGCTCGGTTGAATTCTGGCCCTCGCCATGCCTACCCTTCCCTCTCTCCCTCTCTTCTTCTTCGTCTTCTTCTTATTATTATTGTTATTATTATTATAAGTATTATTAGTAGTAGTAGTAGTAGTAGTAGTAGTAGTAGTAGTCGTAGTAGTAGTAGTAGTAGTAGTAGTAGTATTGTTATTCTCTCTCTCTCTCTTTCCCTCTCCTCTCGCTCACGCTCTCTTCCCGTTTCTCTTCCTGCTCCCCAGGCGGTGCTTGCACGCAGGGGTGTGCTCTTCTGCTTCCCCGAGGCAGTCAGTGTCCGGGATTCGCGCTTCGTGGGCCCCTCGCTTCGTGGTCCGACCCCGCTTCGTGGACGCCTCGCTTCGTGGGCGCGCTTCGTGGGCGCGCTTCCCGGGGCGTCCGGCACGCCGCGGTCCCCGTCGCGCGCCTCGGGGGCGCCTCGCCCTTTGGAGGGGGGGAGGGGGCCGGCCGAGGTGGCGCCACGTTGCCGCCCTCGGCGCCTCGTGGGCGCCCCGCGCGCGGGGGGGGGGTATGCGGAAGTCGGGCCCGTCCCCCCGCAGGAGAAATAGATTCAAACATCGTTTTGTTGTTGTTTTGAGTGGTCGGGCTGAAGTCGGGCCCGCCCCTCTGCAGGAGAACTAGATTCAAGCATAGTTGTTTTTTTGGTTGTAGGTGGTCTGGGGACTACCTCTTGCCCATGTCTGAGCACTCTGGGGGGGGGTACGCTGAAGTCGGGCCCGCCCCTCTGCAGGCGACATATATATATATAGAGAGAGAGAGAGATTCAAGCATAGTTTTTCTGTTTTAGAAATAGTCTGGGGAACACCTCCTGCCCATGTTTCAGCACTCCGGGAGTTGTTTGTTTGTTTCTGTTTCTGGGGTGGTTTCGATTTCTCGGCCAGGATCCCCCTTGTAGGGGGACGTGCCCGACCTTAAGGGTATGCCCAGACTGCGCCGCCTCGCCGCCCCGCGGCCACCCCGCGGGCGCCCCCCCTTCGCCGACGGGCGCGTGCCGAGGCGGCGCCACGCTCTTGCCGCCCGTGCCCCCCCCCCCGCGGGGCGCCCCCCGCGAGCCGAGAGCCCGCACGGCGTGCCCGCCGCCGCGCAGAGCTCACGCGCCGCGCGGCTTTTTCCAGCGCAGTGGTGCACCGCACGGCGCACGTGCACCGCACAGCCTCGGGGGCGGTCGGGCCTCCTCGTCGTCCTCCTCCTCCTCCTCCTCCTCGTCCTCCTCCTCCTCCTCCTTTTCCTCCTCCTCCTCGTCCTCCTCCTCCTCGTCCTCCTCCTCCTCGAGAGGGTGGCCAACGGCCTCTCGACGGCGGCGGCCGGGCGGCGGCCTCTCGGCGCACCGCTCGTGGACGGCGCCGGCCGATAGGGCCCTGGCACGTCGGTTGGCGAAGTGGCCGTCTTCGGCTCTCCGGAGGGCGCCGCGGCCGTCGTCTTCCAGGCCTGCGCCCGCCAGGTCTGGGCCCCAGGGCGTTTTCTTTTTTGGTCGCGGCCGCGCAGCAGAGGGCAGGCGGCGAGAGGGGGTCCGGGGCATGGGCCTGCCCAATTAGCTAATAAGCGACACGCAAGCCGGCCGGGCCAGCACTCAGAAGCGGCAGCTGAGGTGCAGCAGCGGCTGGTGGAACTGGATGGCTGGTCTGCAACGCCCAGGGAAGCTGATGCACCTGCAATCCTGAGGCAGAAGTGCCAGAGGTGCCCAGGGCGTTTTCACGAAACCACGTTTTTTACGAAAGGGGGGTCTGTCCCTCCCCGACAGCTCGCGCCCTGTGTCTTCCACCTCCGGGTCCCAGCGCCTGGCTGACGCGACACGGCTTGCACCACATAGCCCAGGTATGAAGCAGTGTTTTTTTCACCTGGCCAGCTGACATCACATAGCTTGCAGTGCATAACTTTCACCACATTGCTTACACCCAGTGTATTGTACTTCCACTGGTCAAGAACGGCTTCCCTTGGGTCCATGCCGACTAACACACAGTTATGCATATGATTAGTTGCGTGTATATGTGCATTTACTTGTATACACATACACATGCATATATACATACACGCATACATATACACAGACGCATATCCACATACATAATCACATACGTATACCTATATATGTATATATCGACACACTCACATACATATAATAGAAGGCTCATTCACACATACACCTACATACACAAAAATTTGCACACACACACATGTATATATATGTGCATACATACGTACACGTACACATACACACATGCATACAAACAAACATACCTACACATGCATAAACACATGCACATACTCGTACATCTGTATACACACATATATAGACACATCGGGGTACAGGGTCGGGGGCCTTCTCCTAGTTACCCCGACTCGCCATGGTGGCTCCGGGCTTCCCGGGCGCCCTGCCAAGCGGCCCGAGAGCCGCCCAGACGGCCCTAAGCGGCGCCACGGAGACACCAGAAGGCTTCATGTACCTTCTCAGGCACTGCTCGCTTCATGTGCGCACTTCAGGAGGATGGTGTCCATTCCTCCAGACCGTTGCGAATCTGATGAGAAGCGATTCTGATCTTAGGACGGCGGTTCTGGAAATGCACGGCTCACCGTGCTTTCGACAGGCTCTGCCCAGATCTTCGGGCAAAAACAAACGATTGTTATTTGTTTGGAGATTTAATGCGTAGTCGTTGGCAACAACGGTCGACGACGACATCCAGGAGCAGTGGAGGAGTTGTTCCCCATATCCAAAGGATGGGGTTCTTGTTATTCTCTGACCGCGCCGGATCCCTCATCATCATCCCTCCCTTCCCTCCTCCCTCTTCTGCACCAGATGATGATGATGAGTGTCATGATGTTGACCATGGTATGGTGGGAGTATGGTGGGAGTCTGATTATGATGGTGAAAGGTGGATGCGCATGATGATGCTGATGATGATGACGATGATCAGACGATGAGCAGATGATGAGCAGATGATGAGGATGTCTCGAGCGGCTTGCTGGTTTTAGCACTCCTATGGGGGCGCCAGGGATCTCACGGCCTCCGTTCGCGCCGAAATGGCGGGGATGTCTCGAGCGGTTTGCCTTTTTTAGTCGCGAACAGCCTTCGTTTTCGGAGCAGGTTTTGAGGATGTCTCGTGCGAGGCGCCTCCTGAGGGGGGCCGCCAGGGGTATCTCACGGCCTCCGTTCGCGCCCAGATTGCCTCACGGCCTCCGTTCGCGCCCAGATTGCGGGGATGTCTCAGGCGGTTTGCCTGTTTTGGTCGCGAACAGCCTTCGTTTTCGAAGCAGATTTTGAAGATGTCTCGTGCGAGGCGCCTCCTAAGGGGGGGCGCCAGGGGTATCTCACGGCCTCCGTTCGCGCCGAAATGGCGGGGATGTCTCAGGCGGTTTGCTTGTCTTGGTCGCGAACAGCCTTCGTTTTCGGAGCAGATTTGGAGAATGTCCTCGAGCGAGGCGCTCATGTTCGCCCCCCAGGGGGGCCAGATTTTGAGGATGTCTCGATCGGTTTGCTTGTTTGGGTGGCCAGGCTCGTGGGCACATATTCTCCCCAGGATGCCACAGGAGGCTCCAGCAGGCTCCAGGAGTCCCCGGGAGGCCACATGAGGTCCCAGGAGGCATCAGGAGGCCACAGGAAGACTCAAGAGGCCATAAGATGTCCCTAGAGGCTCCAGGAGGCCCCAGGAAGCTCCAGGAGGCCTCGGGAGGCCCCAGCAGGCAGCAGGAGGCCCCGATAGGCCCCAGGAGCAGGAGGCCTCAGAAGGCAACAAGAGTGGCTCCAATCCCATGTGTGTTTACGTATGCTCCTATCGATTGATCCTCACCTGGAGCACGAATCTTTGATGTTATACGTATGTTCTATAGTCTGTCCTTCTCCTGTGCGTATACAATCCTCAAAGTTTTACGTATGTTCCTATAGAGTGGGCCTCCCCTGGGGCACAAGTTCTTGGTGTTTTACGTGCGTTCCTCTAGATTACCCTTTTCCTGCGGCTCCGATCCGCAATGTTTCATGTACGTCTGTTCCTATAGATTGGGCCTCTCCTGGGACACGATTCCTCCCTTGGAGGTCCCAGGAGGCTCCAGGAGGCCCCAGGAGGCCACTCGAGGCTCCAGGAGGCCTCGGGAGGCCACTCGAAGCCCCAAGAGGCCCCAAGAGGCTCCTTGAGGCCCCAGGAAGCCCCCGGACGTTTCAGGAGGCCCCAGGAGGCCCCAGGCTCATGCGCAAAGACGCGCTCGTAGTACTGAGACTCATTCACTCTCCAACTCATTCGCAGTTAGATTCATGATCAGACCGTCACAATTCAAGCCCGCTTATAGCCGAAAAATCTAGCGCCTAGACACTCACGGCGGACAGGTCCATGCGAATAGATGCACATATGGGGAGCTCCACGCAGTGAGTAATTCGATCCCCGTGTTCACTAGGGCTGTCGAAGGGCTTTCGGTGCTCCTGGCCAACGTTTGAGCGCATGTGCGCTCCGTGCGAGTTCAACGATCGCCGCAGTAACATCGCCATGTGTTGCACGTGTCCACGTTGAGGGTCGTTCAGCAACCGATGTGGGGAAAAGCTCAGCACCCCCAGACGCAGCTTGGTCTGTTGACTGCCTCAGGTTATGACACGATGAAGCTGCTCCCTACAGCGAGTGAAATACCAAGCGGGGTGATGAACGTTGTCGCGATCCCGCGTTGGCTACGCTCGCCTGTATTCTCCGTTGAACATGCCCCCGCTCCCCGTGACGCGGCCTCTCTGGCCGGCTCAACCGGTCGGGCGGAGACCCGATCCATCGCCATTGAAGTTGGCAGAACCCAGCGTTGTTCGCTCATCCTTGGCATATTCATGAAGACCATCAGACTCGGCGGGGGCACGCGTTGACATTCGATCCCAAGGTTTTGTTGCGACGGTTTTCGGATGTCCCACACCGAGAAGGCGAATCGCACTTCTCGGATCGTCTGGGTCCTCACGTTCGATGAGTCAGTCGTGAACGAACTTGGATGTCGCATCCCCATCTGAACTGAAGCTTGCGCGCCTCCGGTCAGGTGAACACGTTTCGCCGCGCGCTTGTCTCGAGGAGCGGCTTGCAGAACACCTGTAGCCGCAGTATCGCGACAATCCGAGCATGTTCGCCCAGTGTCTCGAGGACGTGCCTGAGGTGTCGGATGGAGTTGCAGATGGTTCGCGACCCCCCCCCTGGAAGGACGATGGGCGCCGCCCCGGAATGGCGCCTCATCCGCTTCAATCTGGTTTTGGCGCACATCAGTTCTGCTTCGCTGCCGGCTCTAGACTGCGCGGGACATCCGCAAGAGGCATGGGATCTCGTCCGCCGCGGTCGACGACGACCCCCGCGTGCGCGTTAGGTCCAAGCGACAGCGGTGGAAAGATCAACGGGCCCGAGTCAGGAAGTCCCGCGAAGGCCAAACGCTCCTCGAGAACGAGCTGGGGGCTGCGCCTGCGTGGCAAGCAGGAGCGAACGGCATTTCGGCTTCTGGGGCCACTGAGACAAGGTTCATACCGCGCATCAAATTCAAGAGGAATATTACGCTCGCGGCTGCATGGTAGAGCGACCAACGGAGGTTGATCATTTTTTTTCCGACGCCCACGTCGCGGCCCCCGTTGGCGACATTCGATTGGAGAGGCGCGAAGGGCGAAGTCGCTGGGGAGGCGCCGATGGCGAGCGAGGGGAATATTGCCCCCACCCCGGCTGGGCTCGCGCAGCAGGCCGCCCGCGTAGGCGGGGGCCTTGGCGACCGAGCCTAGCGGCATCAAGCGGGGTCCGCAAAGCGACGCGCGGATGATCTGTTTGTGGCCATGGATAATTTCCGCGCGGTCTCGTCGACCCCCCAGGGCAGCCTCGCGCCGCAGACCGAACCGCCAGGGCGCGGGGGTGGAAGACCTTCGGCATGGGGCCGTAGATATGCCCCGCAGACGGCTGAAACGCCTGCGCCGCTGATTCTCGCCTGTCTCGAAGACCGCGAGGACGAGGTCGCTCCTCAGTTGAATCTCGCCGCGCCAGCCCCCGCGCGCGGAAGCCCGGCTGATTGAGCGACGAGCTTCCGTCGACCATAGCCGAGGACAGCTTTTTGCCGACGACCATCATGATATCTTGAGTCGCGCGCGAAAGGCGCGGCATGCCCGCGCATGGCGGAGTATTCGATGGGGGGCTAGTAGCAGCGATGACAGCGCCGCCCTGTCTGAATCCCTGATTGGCTGCGTGGATCACTTCTGGAAGCTCTCCGAGTCGCGCCTTGAACCGAGATCCTGCGGGGGCCTCGGGATCATCGGAGAGCGCTTGGGGAAGCTCGCGTCGGAGGGCCAAAATGATGCGTTTCCATTGTGGACGTTGATCAGCACGCATTTTTCTTATTCGAACATTGCCCTGAGCAATGGAGAAAGGGCGCCCACGCCTTAGACTCGGAGGTGGGGGCGGCAGTGAAGAGTTCGAATTTGGCCGGGGCGCGCGGAGACCTGGGATCGAAATCCAGGTCTCACATGCGCAGCGTCGCCATGCCGATGCATTCGCGCATTGCGGAGCTCGGCGGCAGGTTCAACAGGGCCGTCGAGATTCCGGGAGACACCGCCGAGTTTTGCAATCGAACGGCGGCCAAACATGACTCAGTAACAGCCGCGGTCGCCCTCGGCGTCGCACGCGCGCGCAAGAAGGGCGGGGGGCCCATTGTCAAGTCGGCCCGGAATGTGGGGGACTCCATGGACGTCGACGGCGCCGCCGAGACAGTCGGCGGCACGACGGAGCGCGCCAGCGTGGCAGCCTCCGAGGCCGCTGCTGGCTCAGCCAGTAGCCGTCGCCCCGGGAGTTGCTGCCCGCCCCATAAGTGCGCCCGCGCCTGGTGCCGTCGCCGGCCTCGTCAGCTGCGATGCTCTCGGTGCAAACGCGGCAGCGGATTTCGATTGCGCCGCCGATGCGGCCGCTGGTTCAACCAGCGGTCCGGCGCCCCCGCGCGGGCAGCTGCCGCCTCCGCCAGACCCGCCGGCTCGTCGTCTTCAACGACCGCCACTGCCGAAGAGACCGTCTGCGGGCGCGGCGGCGAAGCGCCGCCGCCGAGGGCCAGGCGGGCCCGTGAATTCGGAGTCGGTGGAGAAGCGATTCCGACAGAATAACCATTCGTTGGCTCTGCGCCCGCGGCGCCTTCGCCGCGCGAACCGAGACGCGCAGAGGGGGCGCGACGCCTGCGGCTAACGCAACTGGGCCGCGGGGCGCGAGCCGCCGCGATTGGGCGGGCGGCGGTTATCACGCGTTCAGCGAGCACGAGAGGGGGCAGCAGTGGAGCATCCACGAGCGCAGCTAGAGGTGCGACCCCCTCCCGCGCGAGGAGAAATTGAATCGAAAAAAAGGCAAAGGACAATGAACATTATATCACATTCAACTTGGCGGTCAGTCTTTGAATGCAGCGCTTCCATCGGCTGCCGACCGCTAGGGGAATGCGCGGCTATGCCGCACAATGCATTGGACTTGATCATGGACTGGATCCCGAATTTCAGCGCGCCCCTGACCGCGGGCGCAATGCGGGGCAACGCCGCGCGTTGCCCGGCAATGGCGCGCTCCTGCAGACCATGGCGCAGTTGCTGGCCAAGAACATGGAGATTCGTCTATTGGATTGGATTCGTCTATCTGCTTCGGCGCGTTCCAAGAGCTCCGCCAGGAGTAGATGCCATCCCGCCTCGCGCGCCGTAGAACGTTTTGGGGTTGGCGCCGTGGGGGCCAGCGCGCGCGCGGGGATGGCGCGACGTTTGGCAACTCCGACGACATGACACTCACGTCGCCGTCCCCCGCCGCCGACGCCGGAAGCCGCCATTGGCCCAGGTGGAGAAGGGTGTGGTTTCGGCCGGCTGTTTTTTTTTAATGTAAATGCTATTTGCGCGCCTTCGTTCAACGGGTTCATGTCGAAGCCATGTCGAAGTGACTGACCCGGCCGAGCGAGGAGGAGCGCGACCCGCTGCTGATTCTGAAGCAAAAGTACAGACCGATCAGAAAGTCACTAATCTTCGAGCGGATAAGTAAAAGTTTCTACGGACCCGAAGATGAGAGAACATATATATATATATATATATATAAAGAAAAAACGAGAACGTGGTTGCGCGGCCAAAGACACAACTGTACGCATGCAGAGACGCCAAAACGTGAACCAGGCACGTTCGACTGCCATTCTTGTTTGGAGGATCTTTCGGGCGCATCTTCAAAACGTGATTCTGCTTGTCCGGGCCGCGCGGCCGATGCTGCAATAGAGACACTGATGCCATCGCGCAGTGATCACACAGTTTCTTTGTCCCACACATGGATCGCCTTTTGGCTTCTGGGGTTAGGAGTACCCCTGCACGCGTTCGAAGTTTCCTGGGCACGTCTGGGAGCAAGGGAGTTCGAGGAGAGGGGGGGGGAAGGGAGAGCAGTGGGTGTGGAGAGAAGGAGGCAGTCTCGGGGCTCCCATCTGCCGTTTTTTGGGGGGTCAACCCTGGGGTTGTGCAGGATGGCGGCTGGGGCGTGTTTAAACAAAGGTCAGTTGGAATCCCTGGGTACTTCGCCGCCCGCGCGGTCTATATATAACAGAAGACATGGTGATTCTAGCAATGTGCTAGCATGTCTCACCCCTGTGTCGCGTTTTCACAGGATCGTGGGCTCAATGGGTGGGATGATTTGATTTCAACACTGCGGTGATTATCATACCATCGCGTTCGGTGTCCTCACTTCCCTCCTCCAGCTCCTCCACGAACGAACAATTACTTGTTATTTGGGTTGATGTGTCACGGACCTTTCCAGCGTTACCATAACAAACATTCAAAACGCGTTATCATAACATCGTGGTCGACGCGCTGTTTTTCCTAATTCCAGGGACCTGCAGCTGTTTTCTGGGATGATGTGTCCGAATCCTTGTCCAGGCCTGCGATTTTACTTAAGCATCATTTTGCGTTCGTGTTTTCCTCGTGCTCGCCGTTGGTTGGACGGAGAAACATGTTCTGCCATCTCGGAGGATTTGTCGTGCGCGTTCCGAATGTAGCTGCTTTGCGGAATTAGGGAGACACTTGGGCACGAAGAAGGGGACACAAGTCAGGCTGGTCCAGCAGGTGCTCGGACACAGTATGCATGCCGTCCCCCCGTTTCCTCCTCCTCATTTCTCTTTCTTTCTTTCTCTCTCTCTCGTTTTCTCTCTCCCTCTCTCTCTCTCTTTCTCTTTCGCGAGGAGGAGGAGGAGGAGGAGGAGGAGGAGGAGGAGGGAGGAGGTGGAGGACGAAGAAGCCAGGAAAAGGAGGATGGCTTTATGAGGAGGGTCGGTCGAGGTCGGGAGGAGGAGGAGGAGGAGGAGGAGGGCCCGAGGATGAGGAAGATACCAGGAGGAATCCAGGAGGCCAGGAGGAAGCCAAGATGACGCCAGGAGGAAACCAAGAGGAGGCCAGGAGGGAACCAAGAGGAGGAGGAGGAAGAGGAGGAGGATGAGGAGGAGGAAGGCCCCGTGCCGCGGCGCAGCGGAGAGGCACAAGTCGGGCCTCCCGAGGGAAGAGCTGGAGCAGTACCTCTTCACCCACTCGGGACCCCGCCGCCGCGACCCCGCGCGCGCTCGCGGGACGCCGCCCTCCTGCGCTTTTTCCGGGTCGCCTCCTGCCCCCTGCCTCCCTGATGGCACATCCCCCACCCGATCCCTGTCCCCGTCGTCTCCTCCTCGCTCTCCTCCATCTTCTGTTCCCCCATTCCGCCCTCCGCCCCCCTTCCCCACCCTGCCTCCGCCGCCCTCCGCTCACGCGGCGCCGTCGGGCGCCACATCCACAGCGCGCGCCCCGCGCCCGACGCGCGGGCGCGGCCGAGGCCCGGGCGGGCCCGCCACTTCCGGAGGGGGGGAGGAGTGAGTGGAAGGTCCTTTTCCTCCTCCTCCTCCTCCTCCTCCTCCTCCTCCTTCTCCTCCTCCTCCTCCCTCCTCCTCCTCCTCCTCCTCCTCGCCTCCTCCTCCTCCTCCTCCTCCTCCTCCTCCCTCCTCCTACTCCTCCCTCCTCCTCCTCCTCCTCCTCCTCCTCCCTCCTCCTCCTCCGCCCTCCTCCTCCTCCGCGCCCCCCCCCCGCCCCGCCTCCTGCTTCGCCGCGCCCGGTCTCGCCTCCCCGACCGAGCTCAACCGAGCACGACGCGCGCGCGCGCGCTCGCGGTGGGGGCCCGGCGGCGAGCTCGGGAGCGGCGCGCGGGCAGCCAGGGCGTCGCCACCTCGCCACGGTCGCCAGACTTCGGTCGTCACCATTGGCCATTTCGCCGCCATCGCATACCGCCTTGCCTTCCTCGTCCTCCTCTCCCCCCTCTCCCTCCGCCTCAAGCTGGCTCGTCCTCCGCTCCCCCCATCCTCCTTCGCCTCTTCCTCTTCTTCCCCCTTTCTCCCTCCTCTCTCCGTCTCGTCCTCTTCCTCCTCTCTCCCTCCCCCCCCCCCTGCCCTGTCGTCGTCGTCGTCGTCGTCGCCGTGTTCGTCGTCGTCGCTTGTCATCGGCGTCGTCGTCGTCGTTGGGGGGCGGTCCCCTGTCCTCGGGTTTGCGGCCCTCCAGGGGAGGGGGCTTTGGGGCTGGAGCATTTGATGTACGCACTCCCCCGCCGAACACAGGGCATTCGAGCCGTTGGCAGGCGGAGGCGCGTCGCACGCTTGAGCGGGCGTCTCAGGACGTGCTGCTCTGCGACCGCTCGGAGGGCGCGCCGGTGTAGACGACGCTCGGTCTGTTCGTTTCCCTTCCCCTCCTCTGGGGAGGTTTACTACAGGGAGGTCTGTCCGCACTTTTGGCGCTCCGCGCGGATTTCTCGGGCCCCCCCCGGCGGTGCCTCCGGCGCCGCCCCTGGCGCGCTCCGCACGCCAGGGAGGGGGGTCCCCCTCCTTCTTCGTTTGAGCTCCGCGCCAGTTTGTGTAGGCTGGCTGGACGACACAACTCTGCAGCAGTGCGGCAATCCGTAGCCATTTTGGCTCAAGGATTTTTCAATCTCGAGCCGCGGACTTCACAAGTTCAGGGGCCTTCCGCGCGTGCATCGCCATGGATACGAAAGCCGCTGATTTCACTATCCCCGCCATCGTTGTCGTGGTGGCGTATGCGGGAAGCCTGATGTACCACGGGGCGACTTTCAAGGAGTTCTTCACGTTCACGAACAAGTCGGACTACGTTTTCTTGGCAACCATGGCGGTGCACGTGCTCAAGTGTTGCAACGATGCGCGTGGAGCGGTAGAGGGTGTGTATTGGCCGGTCGGGCTTGTCTCCTGCGGAGCTGCGGCCATGGGAGGCGGCTTCCTCGCACCTCTGATGGTTGGCCGCAGTCCAGTCGTCTTCCTGGAAGAGACTCTCTCCTCCTCCTCCTCCTCCTCCTCCTCCTCCTCCTCCTCCTCCTCCTCCTCCTTTGGACCTGCCCAGCCTAGGGGGCTGGCTTGGCAGATGTTGGTTTTCCATTTTCGCGTCGTGTGCTGGAGGGCGTCCCCGCATGGTACGTCACGTACCACATGCCGGTGGTCTCTGACCAGTGGGCCAGACTGGCGCAGAGCAAGCCGGTGTCCATGCTCCTCCTCTGTGTGTTCGGCGTCTTCCGTACGCACCAGCAGGTGGCGTGCATCGAGATCGGCGCTCAGGCGGCCGCCCTCGAGGACGTCGGGCCCAGGCCGCGCTTCTTCTCGGAGCCGTACGCCGCCCTGCTGGTCTGCGGCTTCCTGGGCGGCTGCGGAGGCATGTTCATCCCCTTCAGCAAGGGTCTGGAGCCCATCATGAAAGGCAAGGTCTTCCCCGTCACCATGGCCTTCTACGGGACCATCTTCTACGTCGTCGTCACGCGCCTGCTGGCCTGGGACAAGCTCACCGCGAAGATGGCCCTGGCGGTGGTTCGCGTGATCTCGGAGCTGCTGCCGGCTCCGCGCGAGAAGGTGCTCGGGGCGGTGCGCGCCTCGTACAAGGTCCTGAAGCTGCCAGAGGCCACGACCCTGCCGCAGTGAGCCCGCGGCCCGAGCGGCCCCATTGAGGGCGGGCTGGAGGCTCGGGGGGCACCTCGGCTTCGCGTGGGAGTGGCCCTTCGCCGGAGTGACGTTTGGTGCGCGGCCCAATGTGGCTTGCTGTCCGCCTGGCCCGAGCTTTCTTGAGGAGTGGGACGGGGAGCAGGGGCGATGAGGATCCCTGTGGTTAAGGAGCTGCAGGGTTGAATCGTGTGCGTGTCGTCGGCTTATCCATGTCTGCCGGTTCGAGCTCCTCCGCGCTTTGTATATTATTCATTTGGCGCGTCTGTTGCTTCCCGCAACACTTTTCGTGTCAAGGTGCTCGAGACGTTGATGGGCCCGGCTGGGGGCGGGTGGGGGGGGGCCTTGGGGGGGGGCGCTCACAGAGGTTGATAGAGGGGGGCCGCCCCCACCGCAGCACCGCGTGGCATTCCCACGCGTAGACGCGCCGCAGGGACGGTGGCGGAGCTTAAGTTTTGGCCAAGCTATCGTGTGAGCACGCATGGAAAACAAAAAAAACACTCGGCAGCAGTGCGGCAGCCGACGAGGGCGTTCTTTTTGTCTCGCCCCTCCTCCTACTCCTCCTCCTCGTCCCCCTCCTACTCTTCCTCCTCGTCCCCCTCCCCCTCCTCCTCCTCCTCGTCCCCCTCCCCCTCCTCCTCCTCCTCCTCATCCTCCTCGTCCCCTTCCTCCTCCTCCTCCTCTTCCTCCTCCTCCTCCTCCTCCTCCTCCTCCTCCTCCTCCTCCTCCTCCTCCTCCTCTCCTCCGCACTCGAGGTGCGGAGCTTCGCGCACTCCGCGCGTGAACTGGCGACGGCGCCGGTGCACGCGGAGCCTCGAAAAGGCCTGGACAGGCAAAACCGAACGCGGGACGACCGGAATTCCCGCCTGGAAATGGAAAACCTGAAATCCCTGGGGCACACCAAAAAATTGCCATAAACCGAATTTGACCTTCCTGAAAACCAGGACGATGAAGATAGCATCTTCGAGGCATAACCCTCGAGGAAAAACAACTCTGGCGTGGCTGGTGGAGGGCCCCCTTGGTCTCGCCGAGACCGCTCCCGACCCCATGGAGTCGTCCACGAGCTCGCACTGCCCTCTTTTGCCGGCCGCTGGCGATCCCAGCAGGGCCATCTCTCCATCCAGCATTTGGCGGCGCGCAGAGGGGGGTAGGGGGAGAGGGGAAGGCTTCTTAGAAGGAGGCTGCTTCTTAGAAGGCGCCGGCCTTGCATCTGCAGAGAAGGCCCGCACCTTCTGAGAAGCAGGGGTGCTTCTAGGGAGCCTTCCCCCTCCCCCTACCCCCCTCTGCGCGCCGCCAAAGAATGTCTTCAGCACGCTGCGTCCTTCTCGGCCTGAGCGGACGCAGTGCGGTCTCAGCGCACTGTGTTTCCCCTCCTCCTCCCCGCCTCCACTGCGGCTGCCCCTTTTGTGCTTGACGGGCGTTGTTGGGTACGCAGCCTAATATTTGTCTACCTGTGTGGTCCTCCTCTTCCTCCTCCTTGTCCTGTTCCTCCTGCCCCTCATCACGTCCCTTTGTGCTGCCTTCGAGTCAGGGTGGCATAGCCCACAGACGTCTCCTATCCTACCGCAGGTCTCACTCAGGAGGCTAGGGCGATGACGGTCCTGCGGCAGTATTACCTGTCCATCACACAGCACGATATGCGAGATGATCAGCAAGGCTTCGTGTGCGTTGTCTCCATCTCGCCTCTTCCTCCCTTCTCTCCAAACTTTCGCTGGAACAAACACCTTCACCTCACACAGCGCATGCTCCCATGATCCCTCCCTCCTCATCCTCTACCCCCCCTCCCTCCCCAAGGAGTTTGTCGGCAAGCAACGTTGCTGTCAGACGCCGCCAGAGCCCGAGTTCTTGAGCTCCCCCTGCCTCCCTCCTATCCCTCCCCCTCCATCCTCCTTACTCATCCTTCTTCTCCCCCTCTTCCCTCCTCCACCCCATTCCTCCTCCCTTCTCCTCCATCCCCCCTCCACGGGCGATAACTCCCCTGTGGCTCCACAGGGCGTGCAAGTAGGCTGGCCTGGGCGTTTCGTTGGAGAGGCCCTCGCCCCTCTCACTGCCCCGAAGCGTGATATACTTCCCAGAAGCTGCCTGCACGGAGGGAGAGCCGGGCGTTTTCAGAGTCCGGTTCTCGTTGCAGCTCCGCGCACATTCGTCTCGAGAGTTTCCAGCAGCTCCGCGGCCGGCTGCCGGCACTTGTCTCAGGTGGTGTTCTCGAGATTGGCAGGTCATCCAGAGGTAGATTCAAACGACGCGAAGATCGGGACAACATCGGATCGGGATAGCTCGAAATCTCCGAGAATCGGCGGGCTTGGAGGATGCATTGGGCGCCGCGGCCGCTCCAGAGCGCTCCGGAACGCTCTGAGAGCGCTCCGGAACGCTCTGGAGCGATTTATCCCGATCCTGGCCCTGTTTTACAGATCACCGCGTATGCTACACTGAGAGCAATCTGCGGGTGGAGAGCGGCTCCTGTTCGAAGTGCGCTCTCGCGGGAACGTCGCTGGGTTCTTCGCTCCCGCACCAGGAATCAATGGACGTCCGGGGATCTCGAGGGCCGGTTTCGTGTGGAAGGTTTTCAGACCCCGAATCATCAGGGGTACTCCAGATTTCGTAATAAAGGGAGGGGGGTCTCATTTCGGGGGGGGGTCTCTTCCAGGCTATCTTGGAGGGCCTGGGGGGTCTGGAGACGATGTTTTGGAGGGTTCTCCCACGGGGGAGGTCTGAAATGGCTTGTCTTGGAGGGTCCAGACCCCCTCCCTTTAATTACAAAATCTGGAGTACATCGGGTCAGGGGTAACTCGGGTTTGTTTTTGTTCGGGAATCCGATCCCGAGCTGCCGCGGATAATTGGGGCATCTACCGTTCTTGTGGACGAGCCTCCATTTGCAACGCCCCACATCACCGCATTCCTCCTTGCTCGAAGGACGGAAGTCGGTTTCCTTGAGGACGGCGCTCCCGCTCGAACTGCGGGACCCTGGGGTGCCCGTCCTGAGGAGGGGTGTGCGTGTCGCGCAGCAAAACAGATAATGTCTGCAGGGACCAATTTCGAAGAAGAAAACAAAACCCGATCATAGTCGTGTTTAGGGCTAGAAGGGTATGGGGTCTATTGGGCTATAGGGCTATGGGGCTATGGGGCCATGGGGCTATAGGGCCATAGGGCTATATGTCTATAGGGCTATAGGGCTATAGGGCCATAGGGCTATAGGGCTGTAGGGTTAAAGGGCTATTTGACTATGGGCTATAGGGCCATAGGGCTATAGGATATATGGCTATTGGGCTATAGGGCCATAGGACTATAGGGCTATACGGTTATACGGCTATAGGGTGACACGGCTATAGGGTTATAGGGTTGTGAGGATATAGGGCTATTGGGCTATAGGGCTGTAGTGCTACAGGGCTATGGGGCTATAGGGCTATAGGGCTACAAGGCTTTAGGGCTATAGAGCTATAGGGCTAAAGGGCTATAGGGCGATAGGGCTATAGGGCTAAAAGGCTATAGGGCTATTGGGCGATAGGGCTGTTGGGCTATAGGGCTATGGAGCTATAGGGCTACAGGGCAATGGGGCTATAGGGCTATAGGGCTATGGGGCTATCAAGCACCCGGCTATCTGGGCACCCGGGCGGGGCGCGGAAATCGGTGGCACACCTCATTTAACCGTATGAATCCGCTAGGGCCCTTCCAGAGGCAAGCTCTGATGAGGGAACTTCTCGCTGTCGCACCCCGAGGCCAGTGTTTAGGGCGGGCTGGGCGTTTCGCCTGAGACTTCCTCGCCAGGAATGACTTTGAAGCTTAAAGATTGGCAACAGTTTCACATATGGAGGGCGGGTGGTTTTCAAAATGTGGCTCTCGCCTTGGCGCCGCGCACACTCGTTCTAAATAGGGCTATGGGGTTATAGGACCATAGACCTATAGGCATATAGAGCTACAGGACGGTTGGGCTGTAAGGCTCTAGGGTTATAGGGCTGTAGGGAGATAGGGTTATAGGGCTATAGGGCTATTGGGCTATAGGGCTATAGGGCTATAGGACCATAGGGCTACAGGGCTAAAGGGCTATAGAGCTATAGGGCTATAGAGCTGTTGGACTCTAGGGCTGTAGGGCTATAGGGCTATGGGGCCATAAGGCTATATGACTATAGGGCTATAGGGCTACTGGGCTACAGGGCTATAGGGCTATTGGGCTATGGGGCTATAGAGCTATAGGGCTATAGGGCTATTAGGCACACGGGCACCCAGGCACCCGGGCACCTGGGCACCCGGGCACCCGGGCACCCGGGCGGGCCGCGGAAATCGGTGGCAAACCTCACCTAACCGTATGAATCCGCTAGGACCCCTACAGAGGCAAGCTCTGATTGGGGAATTGTTGGCTCTCCGCGCGGATTTCTTGGATCCGCGCCTGGGCCCCCCGGCGGCGCCTCCAGCGCCGCCTGTAGCGCGCTACGCGCGCCAGGGAGGGGGGTTCAGTGTTTATGTGTTTTTTCCATAATTCGGAGGGGGTTAAGGACGGGATGGTGCATTGTAGCGTCGTTGGTACTTTCTCTGGTCCTCCTCACCATCCTCTCCCCTCCCTCCCCCTCTCTCCTCCTCCTAAGACTATGCCTTTTCCTCTTCCCCTTCACCTCGTCCCCTCTTCCTCTTCTCCTATCCTTCTCCTTCTTGTCCTTATCTTCCCACTCTTCCTCCCCCTCCCGCATCCATCTTCTCATCCTCCTTCTACTGACAATCGGGGTGAATGAGACACGACATCAAAGTTGTGAATATTGGTTCCTGGTTACGGGTCGATATATTCGATTCTTCTTCCTCAGTTGGCGTCAGGCCTGGTTTTCTTGGTGACGTGGCCCCCGATCATTATCGTCCCTCCCCCCTCCCTCCTCCCTCCTCTCCCTGTCCCGCCTCCGTAGCATAGTCCTCTTTCTCCTTTCTTTCTCCCCCCTCTTCTGTCAGGCAAGCTCCAAGTGGCACGGGTGTTGCCTTCCGCTTCACAGCGTGATTGCCTGTGCGCGCCGCGGATCTTGAGACGCCGGTGTCCAGACCTCGATCGATCGATTTCAAATCCGAAGCGGTGCCGTGTACTGTCTGAGCCCGCGCGTTCTTCTGGCTGGCAGTGTAACCGGCAGTGTTCATGGGTGAAGCGCGAGAGTGATTCAGTGGGGCGAGGCATGGGCCAGACGCATCGGCCCCCACTGTCACCGAAACGGGAAAACCAGCCCACGCGCTGTTTTCTGCTTCTGGTGCGTGAGGCGACACTTCCGCCCCTCCCCGGCCTGCATCGAGGCCCTCTTTCCGCCGTCCGTGGCCACTGGCTCAGGGAGGCTCTTCCAGTCGGCCGCGGCGCGCATGGCGCGGCCCACGTGGCTGGACATCGTCCCCTCCGCCCGCCTGCTGCGCCGCGGGACCCCGCCGCCGGCCTCGCTTGCCCGCGGCCTGTCCGAGTACGGCTTCGCGGTGCTGCGCGTCACCGCGGGGGACGCGGCGCTGTTCCGCCGCTGCGCCGCGGCCTTCGCGCGCCGCCTCTTCCTGGCGCTGCCCGGGGAGGCGAAGGCCCGGCTGCGCGACGTGGACGGCGGCGGCACGCTCCGCGGGTGGAACAGGCCCTCGGCCGCCAAGGAGGTCTTCCGCGTGCTGGGCGGCACCGATGCCTCCTCCGCCCTCGCTGCTGCTGCTGCAGCTCCTCCTCCTCCTTCGGCTCCTGCGCCCCTCCGCAGCGGGCGCCACCTGCGCGGCAGCCACGCCTGGCGGGGGCCATCCGGGGCCCCAGTGTACGGACCCTCCTGGCCCCTGCCGGGAGGGCATGTGCGCTGCCAGGGCCTCGGATGGCCCTGGCCAGGCGCGGCGGTGTTGCACGGGCACCCTCTGCGCACCGCGAGTGGTGAAGCGGGACGCCCTTCCTCTGGAGCGACCCTTACTTTGGAGTGACCCCTATGCTTGGCACGAACGAAATGGACACGGAAAGAATGGGTACAATGTTCAACAGCAGTTCCTCTTCATTTTGAACAGGACTCGCTGTCCGCGCCGCCGCGCCCTGTGTCCCCTTGAGACAGAAGGCCGCCTGCCCAACAGCGGCCGCTGTTGGTTTGGGGCAACATTTGTTGTTGGGCCTTGCGCCAATTGTTTCAGTACCCATTTCGTCGTCCAAATATGCGTATATCCTCCTCCTTCGGTACCCCGCCCGCGGGGGCCCCGCCGCGGCTGCTCCGCTTGGCCGCGAGGGTGCGGAGGCGGCTGCGGCGCCTCGGCCGCGCCTGCCTGCGCGCGCTGCCGCCTCCACGGGGCGGCGCGCCGGCAGGTGCCGACGTCGCCGCCGCCGTCGTCGTGCTGCTCGTGGCTGCAGCCGCGGCCACGGCAGAGGGCGAGCTTGGGAGCGGATGGCCACCGGGGCTGGGCTTGCGGGGCGACGCACAGCCGCGGCAGGTCGCCGCTGGCGAGGGGCAGCCTGTGGTGAACAAATGAGGCCCACAGACCCCTGGGGCTGGTGGGTGGACCTCGCGGGGCGCGACAGTTTTTTCGGATCACATGCGGCAGGGCTGGGAGAGCTCGGGGAGCCATCGCGCCGCGGATGATGGCAAACGGCATGAACGACGAGGAGGGGAAGGGGAAAGCAGCAGCAGGAGGAGCAGAAGAAGGAGGAGGAGGAGGAGGAGGAAAAGGAGAAGAACGAGCGAAAAGAGGACAGTATTTGTTTGTGGACGTCCTGCTCATTTTTCCCACGCCCTTTTTTGTTGTGCGCGCCGAGCTTCGTTCTGTGCCTGGCAGGCTCGCCTTTTTGGACGGTGGGCGCGGCGGCCTGATGGCTTGCCTTTTTTGGCTGGCTTCGCTGCGGGGCGCGGCGGGAGGGGTCCCTGGCAGGTTTTTTGGTTGCTTTCGGGCTCTCGGGGCCCTCGGCGGGCCCCGAGGCAACCGAGAAACTACCGAGCTGGTCCTGGCGGGAACTCCAGGGTTCTGGGCCCGCTTCCCCCAGGGCCCGGTTCCATCGTGGCGACGGGACCCCCGTTCGACTGCGCAACAGGGAAACAAGGTGGCGGTGGCTGCGCAGACGGCCCCTGCCTCTGCCGCCCTTGCCTCCCGCCCTCCCCCCCTCCCCCAGCCCGTGTTGCTCCTGTCGCCTTCTCGCTGGCGGCCGGGCGTTGGCGCTGATCGCCGGAACCCCCGCGGCGCGTTCCAACTCGGCGGGCGCCACCCCGCGCGTCGCCCGAAAAGGGTAATCTCACGAGCCCCGTGTTTTTATTAATCGCAATCTGAC